ATTTCTGGCTTGTTAGCCGTCATCAGCCAGTCATACCCAATCTCAGGGGTCGTAATCCCCGAGATTCGAACCCGGGACCTTTGGTCATTGGGTTTACCACCCTACCTAGGCACCACGGGCTCGTTGCTTTGTCGGTTGTGATCGGGGATATGATGGAACATGTCTACTTATGTCAAATAAGTAGATATGTAAGAAAAAGCAAAGTACCTGCGCATTCTATCGTCGCTGAGTGGCCTTCATGAGCCACGAGAACTGACACACACAGTCAAAATAACATGGGAAAAAATTCAAAATTGACTACGAAAGGGTAAATAAAAGACAGCAAACAAATACCGACACAAACGGGCTGCCCACTGTACCGCTGTAATTTGCAGTCGATTACGGACCTGATGTGAGCTTAATGAAAAGGCATGGGTGTGTCGAGCACTCTTCTGAACGGCCTTATCATAAAACATAAAGAGTATGTGCTGACTGTCCAACTCTCAGTCAGGTAGCATCAGTGCTAATGAAAATCAGTTTTCTCAGTTATTTACCTGACCACAGGTCGATTTCTCCAGTATGAATCGCCTCTTGGGATGATGCATTGACAGGATGGTGTCATCGTCGCCAAGGAGACCCAGATTCATGTTCGTAGCGTTGGAGGATTGCGCCAGACCCTTACAGTTGATGTGCAGACTCTGGACTGCCCGGTGACTGAAGATTTTAAGGTAGTTCAGTTGATCGGCATCGATTCCGTAGTCAAACTGGACGGGAGGGGGGGGGAGAGACGAAATAAAGGCGTTTACGTCATAGTTCTACACTGAAAACAACCTTGGCAAAGGAAGACTGCGACTGCGCGCAACTAACCTCGCCAAATTGGTTGACATGCTGGAACCAGCTGGGTTCATCTGTAGCCACCTTGATCCATTTGCTGATTTCAAAGATGCCACGTTTTGGCGAAATGCAAGTCTCCCTACTTTGGATCTTGCATTTAACCTGAACAGCATCGACGGGCAAACCACCGTTGGGGTCCAGCCAGTATAGTCCTGCCAATGTAAAATTAAACAATGGATCGGCCAAAAGTTTCATTTCGACTTAAAACAGTATTTTAAGCGACATAGAGAACAAAAATATTTGGTCTACTCCACGCACTCTGAGCCGTCTTACCGCATTGTTAAGGAAGGGGGGGGTGGGAGGCTATTAAAAAGGATTCTTCTGGAGTACAGAGCGAAATTCAAAGTGCCAGGATTGCGCTCGACGGAAAATTATTCTAACTAACATTTGTTACTGCGATTTGGCCTGTTTTTATTTTTTTTTATATATTAAACTTAGCGGCGCTTTAAGGCTTAATGTTTCATTCAGATAAAATGCACTCACCATCGGGATACTTGGGGAAAAATTCGGCCAGCTGGGCGCAAGTGCGCGCAGGAACGTCACGTGTACCACGCGGAATCTTGACAGCATTCATGCCGATCTTGCGAGAGGCCTGAGGGTCATCACCGTAGAGGAGGCCCTTGGTTGGCGATCGGCGCGCCTGAACACTCATAATTTGGCCAGGTGGACCTGGTGGGCCGGGAGGACCAGGTGGACCCTGAACACCAGGCGGACCAGGATCACCATCGTTTCCAGGAGGTCCCTGCGGGCCGGGCTCACCAGCGTCACCGTTTTCTCCGCGTCGTCCTTGTGGAC